TTTATGGACAAATCATTTAGCCTCTCTGGGTCTGTTTTCTCGTCTGGAAAACAGCAGGTTGGACTAATTTCTAATGTTTCTTCCAGCTGCAGGAAAAGTTCAAGGACACAATATTAACCATCAGCACAAGTTTCTGTGGTTTCCTGCATTATTTCTTTGGTTACAGTAGATGCCTGTGATATAGCACATTTCACAGAGGGAATAAATGCCTTGATCTGTTTCCCAAGTATCAAGGATCTTTTTCACTTTTCCCTTGAAATGTGGATCAGAATATTTCCCACTTGAAAGAAACACACACTGATAAACCTTAAGAACTGTTATTCAGCTACACTTTTTTTTTTAAAGATTTATTTGTTTTTATTATTTTTTTATTGGAAAGGCGGATATACAGAGAGGAGAGACAGAGAGGAAGATCTTCCATCCGATGATTCACTCCCCAAGTGAGCGCAAAGGCCGATGCTATGCCGATCCGAAGCCAGGAGCCTCTTCCGGGTCTCCCACGCGGGTGCAGGGTCCCAAGGCTTTGGGCCGTCCTCGACTGCTTTCCCGGGCCACAGGCAGGGAGCTGGAAGGGAAGCAGGGCCGCTGGGATCCTGGGCGTGCAAGGCGAGGACCTTAACCACTGCGCCACCGCGCTGGGCCCTGGCTACACTTTTTTCATCAAGATCATAGTGCAGGGCCCAGCGCAATAGTGTCATGGTTGAAGTCCTTGCCTTGCACGCACCAGGATTCCATATGTTTGCCGGTTCTAATCCCGGTGGCCCTAATTCCCATCCATCTTCCTGCTTGTGGCCTGGGAAAGTAGTCGAGGACAGCCCAAATCCTTGGAACCCTGCACCTGTGTGGGAGACCTGAAAGAAGCTTCTGGCTCCTGGCTTCAGATTGGCTCAGCTCCACCATTGCGGTCACTTGGGGTGAACCATCGGGCAGAAGATCTTCCTTTCCGTCTCTCCTCCTCTCTGTATATCTAACTTTGCAATAAAAATAAATAAATTAAAAAAAAAAAAGATCATAGTGCAACTGGAGCCGGCACTGTAGTGAAGTATGCTAAGCCTTTGACTGAAGTGCCAGTATCCCGTATGGGCGCCAGTTGAGTCCTACCTGCTTCAGTTCCTATTTAGCTCCCTGACAGTGTACCTGGGAAAGCAATAAAATACAATCCAAGTCCTTGGGCCCCTTCACCCTCGTGGGAGAGTTGGAAAAAGGTCCAGGTTCCCGGCTTAGCACTGGCCCAGCTCCAGCTGTTATGGTCATTTAGGGAATGAACCAGTGAATGGAAGATCTCTGCCTTTCAAACACAAATAAATAAATCTTTTTTAAAAATGACCACATGATTACCTCACTAATCACATGATTCATGATGAAGACAAAGTCACAAGAGGATGGAGAAATCTGACCAGCAGCATGTGGCACACCCACATAGTAATGGCTGAAGGGGAAAAGAATGAGGCAAATGCAGGATAAGAAAAGGGAGAGGTGAGGTTTGGTGAGTCAGTACATAGCAAAACACACCAAATTTAACAGAAAAGGAAAGAAAAGCAGGAGAGGGAATGGGGAAGGAAGATCAAGAAAGCAAGGAAAAACCAGCAGCCAATGGACAGCAACTTAAGCCTGAAACTCTGTCGATCCATTCATTCATTCATCTGACAGATATCAAATGCCTACTATGTACAGGGAGCTAAGCCAGGGAAAACAAACAGCAACCACACAGATCCACTCAGTGAGGTCACAGTCGGGACAAAGGTCTGTACACAGACACAACCGAACTCCAGGGCACAAAGAGCACATAAAAGAGAACCCTCGGCCATGAGAATCAAAGGAGGAAGGGATTACTCCCAGTGAGGGACCAAACACAGGCAGCCTCCCTGGAAGAAATGACATTCCAAGCAGAAAGAACAGCAGAAACAAGAGCACCTGAGCACGAAATCTACAGCAAGGAAGTGGGTTTGATTTGGGACACAGGCAAACATGAAGGGAGAGATGGTATTAACGGTAATAGCTACCAATACACAGAGCCCTGGCTAAACTGGAGACTGAAGCCAGACTGAGCTTTCAGAAATCAGCTGTAAAATCTAAATTTAAGTCCAGCACATGAGGAAGAGGACAAGGGAAACTGACAAACTAGAAAACAGAGGAAATTGGAAAGGCTGACCCACAAAAGATAATAAAATAAAGACAAAATCATATGTGCAGATTCACTAAGATTGTCTTTTAAACCAAAAGAACGCAACAAGAAAGAAGGCAAAAGAGACCAGGAAGATGGTATTAATACAATTAAACAAACAGGACCATATCACAAAAAAACTCGGAAAAATCCAGAAAAACCGGAGTATTTTGACTCCAGAACAGCATAAAGCAAAGAAATACTGAGCTAGACATCATAGCCTTCTCCGGTTCAGGAACATGGTTCTCACTGAAACAGCACACTGTAGCAACCAGGAGTACAGGCTCTCAGACTCCAATCTCAGCCCAGCTTCTTAACAGCTCCAACAGAGCCTTAGCTTCCCCATTTACAATATGTGGACAACTGGGGCCAGTACAGTGACACAGCAAACTAATCCTTCATATAGGTGCCAGTTTGTGTCCCAGTTGCTCTGCTTCCCATCCAGCTCCCTGTTTAGGGCTGGGAAAGCAGATGAGAATGGCTCAAAGCCTTGAGACTTTGTACCCACATAGGAGACCTAGAAGAAGCTCCTGGCTCCTGGCTTCAGATCTGCTCAGCTCCAGCTATTGCAGCCAGTTAGGGAGTGAACCAGCGGACAGAAGAACTTCTCTATTCTTCTCAGTCTGTAAAATCTCCCTTTCAAATAATAAATATTTAAAATAATAATATAAAAAGATTGAGAAGGCAATGCCTACACTTCCTTCCTAAAGGAGGAACACTTTAGGAATCCAATACCGTATTATATGCAAAGTAGTTAACCAAATGTTCAGTAGATAGTAATCAATAATCAGCTTTGTTGTAACTATACTCTCTACCACAAACTACTGTATCTTATTGTTCCATGATCATCAAGCAAGCTTGATATTACTAAATTTGATTTCCCAGATCCCTGGATATTGAAAAGCAATATCCTAGCAAAATCCTGTCTATAGAAAGGAATCCTTCACTTTGAAAGCAATGAATCAGCATTCCATTCCAAGTTCAATCACTCAAGGTTGAATACAATTCTGTCTCTGAAAGACTATTTCCAGATACTCTGCAAAATACATTTTGTGATGCAGACAAAGCATGATGAAAACTGTGGGTGCTCTCCTGAGCAGACAGACTGGCACCCCCTCACAAGTCCCACTGCTGAGCACCCTCACTCAATCCACCCTTGCCTTACCCTTCGTCGATCAATGTACCATGGTGAGGCACATCTCCCTCTATAATTTTCTAACAGGCAAAATATCTCATCTTACTCATTTTTGCATCTCTTTTCTCCATTATGGCAATATATCCTGCCTCAAATTGAGCCATAATGAATATTCAATGCAAGCATAAATTTCAAACACAAGTTTCCTTAACAGTACAATCCACGGCAGTCCACCATTCCCCTACCTCAGGCCCTTTTGATTTATTCTCTTCAAGTTACAGACAACTCTCTTTTCATCTCTTCTCCACACTTCCTTTTTCTACCTCCTACTCTTGAGCATCCAAATACTACAGAAAACTCAGAAGACTTCACTTAACTGGGTTTCCAACAAATCTGTATAACTGGGGTCAAGCCGTCACCCACTGTGAAAATCTTTCATTCATCTTTCATTCATCTCCAGCTTAAGTGATGTCACATAGCAATTTCCCAAGAAGCAGTACTATGCAGAGTTTAAGAGCTGAGGCATGGAGTTAGAATTCATGGTTTTTCTCTTGTGTGACTCAGACAAGGTGATCAACTTTCTATAGTTTCATTTTCCTTTATAAAATGTAGTACCTAAATGAAGCCATTCATGCAAAAATTTTTTTCAAAGACTTCACTATTTGAAAGCCAGAGGTAGAGAGATGGGGAAAGACAGAGGGAGACAATCTTCCATCTGCTGGGTCACTCCCTCATATAGCTACAACTGGAGCCATGTCAGTTCGAAGCCAGGAGCTTCAATCCGGGTCTCCCACGTGGGTACAGAGAACAAGACTTAAGAGATGTTCTCTGTACCCATGTGGAAGACCCCAAGAAGGCTTCTGGCTCTTGGCTTTGGCCTGGGTCAGCTCCTGGCTTTTGGCCTGGGTCAGCCCTAGCCATTGTGACTATGTGGGGAGTAAACCACCAGATTGAAAAGCTCTTTTTCTCTATATATATGTATGTATGTGTGTGTGTATGTATGTATATAAAACTTTTTCAAATGAATAAATCTTAACAAACAAACAAACAAACAAAACACAAAGCAGGGCCTGGCACAAAAGCTCAACTGGCTAATCCCAGGTGCCAGAATCCCAACATGGGCGCCAATCTAGCTGCTCAACTTCCCATTCAGCTCCCTGCCTGTGTCCTGGGAAAGGAGTAGAGGATGGCCCAAAGCCTTGAGACTCTGCACTCACATGGAAGACCCAGAGGAAGCTCCTGGCTCCTGACTTTGGACTGGTGCAGCTCCAGGCATTGCAGCTACTTGGGGAATGAACCAGTGGATAGAGTTATCTTTTTCTCATATCTCCTTCTTTCCATAAATCACTTTCCAACAAAAATTTTTAAAAATTAAATTAAATTAAATTAAAATGCAGCTTTTTTTCTCCAAAATTATCAATAGTTTCCTAACTATTCAATCACCATTAACCCCAGAAGCCCCATATTCTTCCTTCAGTCTCAAGATATCTTCTTCCCCACTGGCTCCCACCAAAACAGCAGGGCTTGAGTCTTCTAGACTAACATGACTAATTTCCCCTCCTCCCTGAATACTCCTATCATTCCTTAAAGTTACCAAGGACTCTCTTCTCGTAACTTTTTGTTTCCTTCCCTAGTGGCTTTTGCTGGGTATACTTTTCTTTTTTTTTTTCTTTAGAAACTGGTGTTATTTTCTGTCAACTTCACTCCACATCTGCTTCAAAGACTGCAGATCACTTAAGACCACTCGGCGGTGGTTTCTATCCATTCAGTGGCCTGAGCTGTGGGGGCTGCAGACCAGTCTTCAGTGGCAGGCAGGGCGCTCCAGTTTTCTGTGGGGAACTGCTGGATGGGCATAAAAGGCATCTGCACACCCTGAGACCAGTCTGCAACCTCAGGCTAGAAAGCCGTGAACTCAGGAGTGGGGGCGGTCCACTCACTCTGGAACTCCTGCTAGGACACAGCCTTTTCAGCCACAGCCTGCTCTTCCTTTTCAATCTCTTCAGGACCGCGGAGGAGGAGAGATCAGGTATGACTTCCCACAGGTGTTCACCGGAAATGGTGCCACGCATGCGCAGAACCTCCCGGGCCAGCATCCACATCAAACCCACAGAGTTGGCTCCCTTGTTGTTGCACAGGGTGGAAATGTCCATGTAGCGCAGAGGAGCGTCCGTGTTGCACAGAGCGATGGTGGGCAGGTCCACATATGATGCCTCCATGAGGGGCTGGTGGTCAGCCCTGGGATCTGTCACCACCAGGAGCTGCGGCTACTGGAAGGTGGCCTGGATCTGGTGAAGGTGCCAGGAGTGAAGCGGCCAGCGATGGGAGTAGCTCCAGTGGCAGCAGCCAACTTCAGCACAGTCCTCTGGCCAGTGTTCCGGGAGGAGATCACACTGACGTCCGCAGGGTTTTCGAAGGCCACAACGGCCCGTGCTGCCAGCAGGAGCTTCTCCCAGGTCCTCTTGAGCTTGATGATGTAGATGCCATCACTTTTCCTTTTGTAGATGTGCTGCTTCATCTGGAACTCGAGGTTGGTGCCTCCCAGGTGGGTTCCTGCAGCCAGGAACTTGAGGACATCCTCCTCCTTCATCTGCAGGAGATGCTCCGGACATTGTGACAGCTTCCCTGTATAGTTACGCCAGGAATCAAAAACAATGCCATATCCCTACCTTCAAACCAGGGATGGTCTCCCCAAGAAGCCACTGAACTTATCTGGACAATAAGATGCTGACTCTATGCTTAGTATATGCTCACAATGAAGGAATCTCAACTGAACTTGACTGTGGTTACACAACAAGGTGGAGGTATCCACCACAGGGGGAGGGTTAGGGGAGAGATGGGGGGAATCCCAGTACCTATAGGACAATGTCTCATAATATAATGTAATCAATAAAGAAAAAAAAAATGCCATATCGAGCCCTCACCGGAGTGCAGAAAGCTTCAGATGTACACAGAGAAGGAGAGACAGAGGAAATATTCCATCTGCTGATTCACTCCGCAAACAGACGCCAATGGATAGAGCTGAGTTGAGCTGAGCTGAGCTGAAGCCAAGAGCCAGGAGCTTCTTCCAGGACACCCATGCAGGTGCAGGGTGCCAAAGCTTTGGGCCATCCTCAACTGCTTTCTGTTGTGGACTAAGGAGTTGATTAGCACTTGCTGGGCTGGGCAGGAACTGGGTTTGTGGTTAAAAACACCTAGGCTAATTGTACTTATCTGTATCCAATTTCCTGGTTAAATTAGGACTTGGGGGAAAGAGTATATAAGGAGGTAAAGGAACAATAAAGAGACTTCTACCATCACTGGTCTCTTGTCAGTGCTTCATCCCCAGACCCTCTCCCTGTCCACATTACTGGCTCTGCTGGTCAGAGCAGCTTTCCCAGGCCACAAGCAGGGAGCTTGTTGGGATTAGAACTGTCGCCCCTATAGGATCCCAACAAGTGCAAGGTGAGACCTTTAGCTACTATGCTACCACACCAGGCCCAATGGTGTACTTTTCAAATATATTCCACAACTACCCCACCCTCATTATGCCCACAGCCACACTCTACTGTATCTGCCATGACCTTTTCCAAGAAATGGGGCAACACTTCCTTCCTGGTCCCTTATTTGCCTCTCTCTAATGCTGTATAGTAGAACAGCCAGCCTAAACTTTTATTCAAATAATTAAATCTCTGCTTGTTACTTCTGTTTCAAAACTGTCTAGACTCCCCAGATGGCCCATACAGGCCTCGAGTGGGCATGCTCTGACTAGCTCTGCACTTGACCTCATGCCATTCTTGCTCTTGTACACCTAGCTCTGGTCCTCAGATGCCTCCTTTCAATTTTCAAAGATAACAACTGGTAACTGCGCCACTGTCTGCATACCTGGAGTTTCTTTATTGTCTGGAACATTCTCCCCGCTGGCTCCATATCAGGCCCATTTCAGTTCACCTTGTGTACAAGGCAGTTGTCTAACGCACAGCGGGAGTGGCACTGGGAACACGTGGAAGCGATGAATTGAGCTTCAGTCAGGCAGGTCACAAGTCTCAGCATCTGGCCTCACTCTCACTCTGTAGTACCTCATTTATGAATGGGTACTTAACAGTCACACCCAAAACCAAACCAAACAGCTTCTTCCAAAACACTTACTCTACTCTGAAACTATACAAGCAATAGGATCTACACTTTCCTCTTAGGAACAATGCAGTTCCATTCATTTGCTCCACCTGTCCACAGTTCTAAATACCCTTTGAAGCTGAATTTAAATGTTACTTCATTCATGCATGCATTCAATCAACCACATATTCATTTAACAAATACTGAGTGCTTTTTATGAAGCTTTTTATGATATTGGAAAGCAAAGTAGACATTTTTCTATCATGTATCAAATAATCACACAAATATTTAATTACAAACTATAATGCTATAAAGGAAAGTGATAAAAACTGAGAAAAAAAAAATAGTGAGGTATCAAGAAGTCTGTTCTGATGATGTGGTGACTGAATAGGACACGGATGATACAGACTGGGGGGAAGTACACGCCAGGCTGAGGGTTCACTCAGGCTTGGAAGCAGGAGCCGAGCAGACCTGGAGCATCTACCATTCTGCCCTGTAAATTATACCTACCTGAACCAGTTCTCTACCTCCATACTCCTTTTACTGATAGCTAACTGAGAGAAGGAACAGGGACTATCCACTTCTGTGCTAACACCTCCAGGAAATGGTGAGTCACATGTCTGGTACCCAGCAGTCTATGCTTATAAGAAAAACTCCCAGGAGATTAAATGCAGCCACATTTGTTTATTATATGCCCAAACTAACCATCCCATAAACATGTATTAATTATTCTCTCCAAAACTGGCTGCCATAACCCCAGCCATACTGCGTGCCACATGTGATGGATCCTCTACCCTTCAGGAGATGAAGTCCACATCCCCTCCTTTCAAATCTAGGCTATTTGGTGATATACACCGACCAAAGAACGGGGCAACACAGTGAGATCTCTCAGGCCCAGGGCTTCAGTGTCCCTGTACTTTCCATGACAGCCTGGCCATCATGTAAATGGAGCCAAATTTAAAGTAAAAAACAAGAGATAAAAGAGACGTAAAGAACTGAGTCCTGGCTACACCAAGACCATCAACTTGTGGGTAAAAAACCACATTCGGTCCTCCAACTCAATCAGTAACACAGAAATGCAACATGTCTTTACTAACCCACAGAAACATGAGCAATATTAAGAGGGTCACTTTGTGCTGCCAAAAGTTTTAGAGTAATTTGCTACACAGTAATACATAATGAAAGAGTCAGAAATTCAACAATCTCTTTGGCCATGTAAATGTTTCCCAACTTCAGTGATTAAAAAGTCTTCATCATATTCATCAAAGTCACTCCTTTTTCAATTTATGCTCATTTATTCTGGAATCTTTGAAGCTCCCGAAGAGCAATTAATCAAACCCCCCTGGCAACTATTCTTACACTTGAAGATAGTAATCAGGCTATCCCTCAGCATTTTCTTCTGTAGGCAAAACTCTTTCCTTTAAAAAAAATGATAGGACTTATTTTTCAACCTTTTAATTGTGTCCGATTATTCTTTCAAGTGTAAGGGGACAAAAAAAATGAATGTCATGAGCATCTAACAGATTACTTCCAAGCCTTGTTTATCTTTCTATCATCAAATTTTGCAGTCTGAATTATGTCATTCTAGCACTCTAAAAGTTGTGAAGTGCTTTCCACATTTAATTACTTACTTGAATTACTACGAGACCTTTTCCATTCTGAACACTCAGCTCCATTTTGCGCCATCTCCCTTTACTCATCAACCTGGTCTGACACTACACTGTGGCGGGAGGTTTTCAAATTCCAGACACTTGAAGTACAATAGAGAAGTCTGGGAGTGGTTAGAGCGGGGGCACCATTAATGTCAATCAGTCTCTGAACATTCGTCAGGGCCTTCTGTAGGCCAGGGAGGCCTCCAAAAATGACAAAGAGGCCTCCGAACAGGAAAGGTCTTTAGTACTTGCTTTGAGCAAATGCACCACAGGACCCAGATGGAGTACATGTAATCTTTGTAAAGAAACAAGCCAGATGCTTCTTCATCCAGTAGAACATGTTTTCTGAGACTCACCTGAATGTGTCTCAACAGCAGAACTGGTTTTTCATCCACTGGTAAGATAAAGACTTTTTTACATACGAACTAAGTTCTTTGGGAGATGAGTACTTTGCCACTCAGAGAGAGAAGGGGAGGCTGTTAGGGAAAGGTCCAGAGACCTGAAAGGACACATGTAGGGAATGGGAAAATGAGAGCAGTTCAGCGAGGTTGGAGAGGAAATGAGGAATAACAACAGGTAGAACAGAATTAAATCTGAATGGCTTTACAAATCAAAATAAGAAACAGGGAACCAATGGTTCCCTGAAAATCCAAGAAGGAAAGATCAGATTTGGCTTTTGCAAAGATAACTACAGCAATAAATGGAGAAGACAGGAAGAGAGAAAGGCTTTTGGGAAGTGGCAAAAGTTCATTTGATAACGGTCTAAAACCAGAAGCAGGAACACAAGTTCCTGGAGCAAAGTGGGTAACATGTGAAGATTTGGTAGATAAAACTAGCAGACTACAAAAATACCACAAAACAAGCAGATGGAACAGCAGGTAAAATGAGTTCAGTCACGTATATGTTGGATTTGTCTTTCAAATATCCCAGTAGATGTGTCCAATTGGGAATCAGGATCTGATATTTGGGGTGACTGCTGAGTTAGTAATATATGAGAGTAACTGAACTTATGGACATATTTATGACTCTTGAGTGGAATCAAGGTGGCAGTGAGAGGTAGCAAAGCTTTGGAGCATCTCACCAAAGGTGGGATACTTACAAGAGGAAAAGAACAAAAAGCCTTGTAGAATCTCAGGAGATTAAAATAACCAGGGCTGCTGGGAGACAAATGGTTCAAAAACTGCTAAATGTTAGGCAGAAGATGGAGACTGAACCAGACTGGATTTGGTAATTAGGAGTTTACCAGTGATTTTCAGAAAAGCTTGAGTATGGTGACAGGGTAAAACATAAAATGGCAGAGCTGATAAAATATTAAAGCTGAGAAAGTCTTAAAAAAAAAAAAAAAAAGAGGGGGCCTGGCGCCTTGGTGGCCTAGCAACTAAAGTCCTCGCCTTGAACACACAAGGATCCCATATGGGCGCCGGTTCTAATCCCAGCAGCTCCATATCCCATCCAGCTCCCTGCTTGTGGCCTGGGGAAGCAGTGGAGGTCAGCTCAAAGCCTTGGGACCTGCACCCGCGTGGGAGACCTGGAGGAAGTTCCTGGCTCCTGGCTTTGGATCGGCGCAGCACTGGCCATTGCAGTCACTTGGGGAGTGAATCATCGGACGGAAGATATTTCTGTCTCACTCCTCTCTCTATATATATATATATATGTCTCACTTCGTAATTAAAATAAATAAATCTTAGAAAAAGGAGAGAAAGTGCTATGCAGGCTCATCTACATCCTACCATCCCCAAGAATCTACTATGTGCCAAGTACCACGCATACAATTACAACGAAACACACTCCAGAGACAGGAGTTTGACGGCCATTAAGCTGCTCCTTGGAACATTTATATCCCATATAGAAGTTCCTGGGTTCAAGTCTCAGTTCAGCTTCCACCCAGCTTTCTGCTAATGCAAACCCTAGCTGCAGACAGCAGCTCAAACACTGGGTCCATGCCACAACCCTAGGAGAACTGCACTGAGTTCCACGCTCTGCCTTAGCCCCAGCTCCAACTGCAGCGGTGTTAAGGGAGCGAACCAGCAAACAGAAGACAGCTCTGTATCTGTTACTCTCAAACAACACATAAAAGTGGAGACTCGACCCCAATTCCCAATATCTCCTAGATTAGACAAAATACAGGGTTCTCCTGAGTACTCATCTAGTCTTGGTAAATGAGCAGCTTTGCAAAACGAGTGAATTCTAGCTCAAAATCAGTTGGCCAAGTTGGGGGAAATGTTTCAGAGAACACCCACATGCGCAAAGGCCTGATGTGAAAGACATGTGGCCCATGGGATAACTCTAAGCGGTGGGGAACTCCCTAGAGATGTGATAGTCTGACTGTCGCTGAAGAGCTGCAGAGTTTAATAACAGGGAGGAGGAGGAGGAAGACAGAGCAGGAGCCTGAATCAGATTAGGGATGAAAGGCTCTCCATAAAACCGCCTACAAACTCCCTCGTAAGGCTCTATGCTCTGCAAATCAGAATCCACAACATTCACCTCTTCCTCTATGCTTGCTTAGTTTGAGGAAACTTTCTCATCAGACACAAAGAATGGAAAATTTAGGAGCAAAAGACAACTTAAAGCTGTAAACTTAATCATGTTTATGTAGTCAATGGTCTAACTACATCTAGTCACCTCCAGATCCCAAATGAAACGAAACTTCCCCACTTAAGTACTGATTCAGAGAACTGAAGGACTGACATTAAAATCCCAAATTGATAAGGTGTAGACTCATTTCTAAAAGCTAAGGATTATTCTCACTTTCTACCCCAACTTAGTCTAGCTACTGATTCTAAGAAAATAGTCAGGGCGTTACCTGATTTTTGCCTGTCTCAAAACACTGCCACAGCAGAAAGCAAGCTGCCCCCAGTTCCTGAGGCTGAGCTCGTTGGAGCCATGTTCAGATGAGATCATTTCAGCAACCAACAGCAGCGGCTTTCAGGCAGAGTGAATGGTGCCGCCTGGGGACGTATCTTTGGTAAGCAAGATTGCAACAGAGCCGACAGTTTACCCAGGGCAGTGCTGACTCACGCTAGGCAAAACAACTCAGTCTGAGCCAACCGCAATCAACTGCAACCCAGAATAGAAGAGGCGCCCCACTGATTGTTTCAAATCAGGTGATTGCTGGGGCAGGTAAACCTCATTCCTCTACTCCTGGAAACTGGCCAGGTGCAGAGCACTTAGCCGAGAAAGCTCCAGTGCCCAGTTTATGAAATTTCATCGGAGGAACAGCCTGGTGCTTGGGGGTTCACAACTCCGGCACATTTCCCCAGGAAGCTGGTAGAGAAGCTACACTGCATTTGCAGGTCAGAGTGCTCAGCAACTTGTCCTGTCATCACTAGCCCATCAGATCCTTAGGGTAAATTTCTGTCGGCTCTAACCAGCCTCAACAGTTGTCTTTTCCCATTAGGCATTCTCAGATCTTTCTACCACCTTGAACAATTCAATTTCTCACACTAAGGCAGTTTGGTTTGTTTGTTTGTTTGTTTGGATTTTTTTTTTTGCTTTGCTGCTGTCATTGTTGTTATCAACTGCCATACTCCCTCTATGCCAAAGCCATGCCATCCACCATCACCCCTATCGGATGCACAAGGAACACAGAAGCCTGTGAAAATCATCTTAGAGCTTGCTCTTTGAACAAAATTCCCTTAATTTATGTCAATTCTTATTAGCCTGCTTATTGAAAGATCAATTCCAAAATGATTAGCTTATCAACAGCTATTCATTATTATGGAATTTGCCCAGAAAAGCTAAAATTGGCTTTGGTGTTTTATAGTCATATATATACATACACATATATATATATATATAGCAAGCTGTTGCTTTCTATGTGCTTTAATTTCATGAAAGAGAAACTGAAGCTTCTATCAGATCCTACAGTTCCTTGTTTGTGCAGGTTCCCCATGGCCATCAGCTGTTTCAAGGCCACCACACCTAACCTCCACCCTCAATCCAAGGCATGAAACCCGGAGGGAGCTGCCTACACAATTTGTCACTCAGTATTGGTTTAATTAAAATGTACACTTAAGGGCCTGGCATGGTGGCCTAGCAACCAAAGTCCTCGCCTTGAACGCACCAGGGTTCCCATATGGACGCCAGTTCTAATCTTAGCAGCTCCATTTCCCATCCAGCTCCCTGCTTGTGGCCTGGGAAAGGATGGCCCTAAGCCTTGGGACCCTGCACCCGCGTGGGAGACCGGGAGGTTCCTGGTTCCTGGCTTTGGACTGGCGCAGCACCAGCCATTACAGTCACTTGGGGAATGAATCATCGGATGGAAGATCTTCCTCTCTCTCTCCTCCTCCTCTCTGTAGATATGACTTTGTAATAAAAATAAATTTTTTTTTTAAAAAGTACAGTTAAGAGAGAATTTAGGCTTAACAAAAAGTATGCTACTCTTTTTTAAGGGGCTACTTCAAAAAAAGGTTGTTTTTCCAAGTCATTTGGTTCTCAAATTACATTATTCTGGTGGGATAGCCACACTGAGTTTTTAAAATGTCCCTGTTTTATTCCTCTCTACTATTTTCCTCTCAGAAAACGGCTGTGATTAAGGAAGTTCTCTGTAGTTTGTGTTAACTGGTCTTTTCCAAATGATAAAAGCACCTTAATGGCAGCTGACAACCAACCATTATCTCATGCACCACATTTGTAAAAATATTTCTGTAGCTGATGATAAGTCACAACTACCTTATGAAGCAACGTTCAAGGTACAAAAATGAAAGCTTTCTGTTTCTCTCTAACACACACACATTAGAAAAGCTTCCTGCCCACTCTACACTATTAAACTTACCTAAGGAAAAGAAAACCCACATGGTATGCATCCTGGAAGCAGCAGTGAATTCTATGAACAGTAACATGGGAGACCAAAGCACCAGGCGGCCAGTGAGGGACCAGGAGACGCCCTGAGCCAAGGGAGGGCACCTGACACAGCTCACAGCCCTCTTAGTTTCAACCAGCTTCCCTAAAATTCAGACATACTCCACCCATATTTCTTCTTTTAGACTGGACAGGTTGAGAATTATACATTTAGCACTTATAAAAGATGCTAAATTTGAACTAATGCTATACAAAATGAGAGAAATAAGAAAAGTACAAGTTGTTCTGTGGTTAAGTTCTTTCAATGTACGACTCAAGTTTACCACCCAGATATTCATAGGCTTTATGTTTTAAGGGGTGGTCACAACAGAGGTTTACCCACTGTCATACCTAAACAGAAAAACATGATATTTATAGCCCACAATTTTTTTTTCTGCAACAGATCTTAACATCATAAACAAAGAAAAAGTGTCAAAAAAAAAAGTAGAACTAATTCTCAGGATTCTGTATGTACTCTAAAACACACACAAACAGGCAGGAACTGCAGTGGGAGCAAGGTTCAAGAAACACTCTCAGGGCCCAGAGCAGTAGCCTAGCAGCTAAGGTCCTCGCCTTGCACGTGTCAGGATCCCATACAGGCACCAGTTTCAATCCTGGAAACCCATCCATCTGCCTGCTTGTGGCCTGGAAAAGCAGTTGAGGACAGCCCAAGTCCTAGGGACACTGCACCCACATGGTGACCCAGAGGAGGCTCCTGGCTCCTGGCTTTGGCTCAGCGCAACTCTGGTCATTATGGTCACATGGAAAGTGAATCATTGGACAGAAGATCTTCCTCTGTGTCTCTCCTCCTCTGTATATTGCAATTTTCAATAAAAAAAATAAATCCATGAAAAAATCCCAGCTTTGTCATTATTTCTTTTTTTTTTTTAAAGATTTATTTATTTTTATTGGAGGAGAGGAGGAGAGACAGAGGAAGATCTTCCATCTGAAGCTTCACTCCCCAGGCGGCCACAACGGCTGGAGCTGTCCCAATCCAAAGCCAGGAGCCAGGAACTTCCTCTGGGTCTCCCACGCGGGTGCAGGGTCCCAAGGCTCTGGCCTGTCCTCAACTGCCCTCCCAGGCCACAAGCAGGGAGCTGCATGGGAAGTGGAGCTGCTGGGATTAGAACCAGTGCCCATAAGGGATCCTGGCGCGTTCAAGGCGAGGACCTTATGCACTATGCTATCGTACCCGGCCCAACTATTTCATTTTTTTAACAAAAAGGAAATATGCAAATAATGTTAACAGATTTAACTGCCAAAATTGTTTTTAAAAATATAAACTCATTTAATAATCTTTTCCCTTTTATCTACTTTCCTACCCCATTGTCCTAAGTGATACTAAGTAATTCTTTTTTACCAAATTAATCCTGTTTATGTCCACATCTTTTTTCTGAGTCAATTGATAAATTTCCAGTAACCAGTCTCATCCATCATTAAAAAATTGCTACACCCTAACCAGCCATTTTCGGAAATCTCAAAACTTTATTATTTTTTTAAATATTTATGTACTTGAAAGGCAAATGACAGAAAGAGAGTCAGAGAAAGATCTTTCATCCATCTGTTGGTTCTCTTTCCAAATGAACACAATGGCCAGGACGGGGCCAAAGTCAGTAGCCAGGATTAAGCCAAATCTCTCTTGTTGGGTGGGGTGGCAGGGAACCCAGTACTTGAACCATCACATGCTGCCTTTTAGATAGAGCACGCAGTAGTAGCCGTCAGAAGGAGAATGGAGTGGGCCCAGTGCTTTGGCTCACTGCTCACCTTACAAGCACCAGGATCTCATTTGGGGATGGATTCATATTTCAGTAGCTCCACTTCCCATTCAATTTTTTGCTTGTGCTTGGGAAAGCAGCAGAGACCAACCCAAAGCCTTGGGATCCTGCACCAATATGGGAGACCCAAAAGAAGCTCCCAGCTTTGGAACAGCTCAGCTGCGGCCGTTGTGGCCATTTGGAAATTGAACTAGGGAAGGAATATCTTTCTCTCTGTATCTGCTTCTCTCTGTAAGTCTGTCTTTATAATAAAAATAAATAATTATTAACAACAAAAAAGAATGGAGTCAAAACTGGAAGCTAAGCCCTCTCACACGGGGTACAGGTGTCCCAAGCAGACTCTTTCCAGTTACATTAAACACCTGCCCTGCAATCTCTTTTTTTTGCAAAAACTAGAATACACACCATTTAAGAAACAGGATATGGATGCCAAACATCTATCATCTAATGACACAGAAATTAACAAAGAAAATCGAAATCAACTTTAGGATACGCAAGAATCAACTCCAGGGGTACCTGAGAATCAGCAGGGTGCTGACTGAAAATGATCATTTCTCATCCCAGTCCCTTACTTGCAATTGCCCAAGTGGAGGGAATCCCCAGAATCCCAAACTGTAATACACATTGCCCTCCCTTGAGCAATCTAAAGCAGATTTGGCCAGGTTTTATTTTACTTTTATTAATCTTAAGAATGCAGTGACTCACATTATTTTAAGATATTTCAAAATTTTTATTGGAAAGTTAGATATACAGAGAGAAGGAGAGACAGAGAGGAAGATCTTCCATCCACTGATTCATTCCCCAAGTGGCCACAATGGCCAAGACTGTGCAAAGCCAAAATCAGGAGCCGGGAGCTTCTTCCGGGTTTCCCACGTGGGTGCAGGGTCCCAAGGCTTTGGGCCATCCTCGACTGCTTTCCCAGGCCACAAGCAGGGAGCTGGATGGGAAGTGGGACTGCCAGGATTAAAGAGTCCTGTCACACTTGTATGCCCTGAGCACCGTTTAGAATAAAAGCTTTTTTTTTCCCCCAAAGACCACCAAATTACCCCAGGAGTCACCCCCAAGCAAGTGCCACACGTCACATGCCTCATTACATGTCACTTGCCTCACCTCAAGAACCACAACAAACCAAACTGTATGTATTTTGCTGCCAGAATCATTATTTTCTTCAAGTCTCCAAAGACAATTATCCTAACTACTATTAAGGATTATAGCTGTCACCCACAGTCTTGTTATACTGAGACATTTTCACACCTGGGATGCAATGCAAAGGCCTTAATGAAATTTTTATGGCTGTGAAAATTAAAGTTCACTTGACTCAACAGAACAGTCCAATAAAATAAAGAACAAAACCTCCCCTCCAAAAGGACAGGTTGAAAGTAGAGGCTTTTGACTTCCTGATGAGGTACTTTCACTCAGAAATTCAAACCATGAGATGCTGTATCACTCATATGTCTTGAGAGCGCCCAGATGTCAACTTATCGCCACAGCATCAGCCGGCACAGACTTACTGGAACATTTGGAAGCACAGATCTGCTGTATAAAATGGCCTCTCCTGGGAAACAACGGCTGTCGCCATGGCAGAGATCACTGCATCTTGGGGCCAGAAGGA